TAGAAAGAGATTAAAAGACTGCATATTTATAAAAAGCTATGTAACAAATTAAATGAAAGATTTATAGGTGGTTAGAATTTCGAAAAATACTTAACAGTGTGAATAATGATTTTGTGTGTTTGATGTAATTAATAATTTGTATTTATTTGTATTTTACAGCCTTCTAATAATCGTTTTGATTTTCCATTATCTGTAAAAATGGGTACAAAAACATTAAATGATATTCATAATGATATGAAGCAATTAATAACAGCAATTACTTCATTTGAGGTAATATCTATTATAGTTTAATTGAATAACTTATACTTATTTATTGTAATGAATGTTATAGTAATTTCTTAAAAGTATATAATCCCTTAATTACAGCAAAGTGAAGAAGGATTTCAAGTTTGCGAACGGTTTTGTATGACAAGTATTAAACATCATCGATTCCTATCTGTTAATAGCAATAGTACAAAAGAAGCTATCAAAGCTCTAGTTACAAAGCTCTTAATTCATGGAAAGTATGATGTAGCAAAAAAATTTGAAGAACTTGTTAATACATTTTTAGCAAGTTTCGATTTTGAACAGCATCCGCAATATGATTTACAGTGGTATTTATTAACTTTACTGTTAGAATTATCCAAGGAAACCAGTAAATCCAATTTAGAATGTTTAAAGTTCACCCGAGGAGAATGTACATTTAGTGCAACAGGTGAAAATGAAAATGAAGCAACGGAGGAAATTGATTGGGCCCAGTATTTAAAAGAAGGTCAAGAAAATTTCTTTGATGATTATAAAAGTGACACTGAAAGTGTAAATATTTTTAATACCCTATATTTGTATGGTATATCTGCATTATATTAGGTTTTTTTAGAATTTTGTATTATTTCTTTTTTATAGGAATGGTCTGATAATAATGAAGATGTTATTGATATGAATACACAATTTCAAGTAACTAAAAATTGTACAGATTCAGATAAAGCAATATGCATACCTACTACTGCTAAGACAGAATTAGACACATTGTCTATGGCTTTAAACAAAGAACTTAAATCTAGAAATTGGTTATTATCAAATGTTCAGAACACGTGGTGGCATGAATTGGAATGGTGGAAATATCCAGTCAAGAGTCAATTTTGTGATGCTTATCTTTGTGAAATTTGGTAATTATTCTCTTAGGAAAAATAATGTTCCATCTGTGTTGTACAGTTATTTTTATTATATAAAATAGGCATAAAACAATTGGAACAGATTATGATACCTTTGGAACTCTCAGCGAATATCTAGTATGTAGAGAATTATTGTGGATGTTTTATGCTCCAGCGCATATGGTAGTATTTCAACAAAGTGAAAATGCACATTTCTTTATTCGCCCCAATATATCTATACCCAGCTTAACAACTGTAAGTATGCAACAGAATATATAGTTCAAAAAACATGTTTGATATATATTATGTACATAATTTTTTATTATTCATGAACATTACTACTAGACATTTTTAGGTTGCTTTCAACAGTATTCTTTTGCCACTTTGTAAATATTTTTCCATGATACACAAGATGGAACAATTCAATGCTGAGATATATTCAAAAGACAATGGTCTTTATAAAAAACCACCTTTTACATATGAAGCATATAATGCAGCACTAGGATGTCATTTGATGAAGTTTAAAAATGAAATAATTGATATAGAAAAAAGATTTATTAAACAAGGTACAACAAAACTTTTCTATAATTAATAAGTTTATGATTCTATAGAGAATTATATTGTGTCATTGTATTGTTTTTAGATGAATCTCTCACATTGTTATCTTTATCAATTCTTTTGAGGGAACATTTATATAATATAAAGATTTTGTACGAAGTTCATCAAAGAGTTATATCTGATTGGAAAATTCATCCAAATTGGATATGCGCATCTAAGTTATTATCATCTCTGTATTTTGAAATGCAGATATCACATAATCGGAAACGAGCAAATATTTGTGCCAGTTTATATTTATGTAGTCTTAGCGTTTATTTAAATATAATTGATACATGGTTAAGTGAAGGACGGTTTGAAGATTGGAGAGAGGAATTCATAATTGTCAGGTAAAACTATCTGAATATAAATAGAAATTATAATAGGTCATAATGATGTTTTTTCATTCAGGTTTCCAAATAATACACCATTTGAATGTAATGATCAGTATAAAGCATTTTCTTTAAGGCCTTTGGACAGTTTGTGTTTAACAGATCCAATAATGCAGTTTTTAATCAAGAAAATGCAGCGCATGGGGCAAAGCGTTGAATTGTTAGTATCTTTAGACCGCATTACAGACATATGGAAAATTAACACTGAAAATGGTAGTATAGACTACTTTCATTTTTACTTTAGAACTTACTTTAACATAAAATATCTAATTAACTTTTGTTTACAGAAACAAAAATGTCTTTGGTTAATGAATTTTATTCTAAATTAAAGTTGGAAATTTCTAAATTCAATATGCATGAATCACAAAAAGAAAACTCTTCGCATCAAGAAAATATAGAAACATCGGATAAGGAGGATGAAGATGTAGAAAGAACAATTATCCAACAACTGACAGAATTCAACAACCTATTTTTTTTAAAAGCTTTAGAAGACTACATTCCTTCTGAATTATTACAAAATAGTGAAACTGATGTTTATTGCTCTAAAACTAAGAATACTGAGACTGATTCTAACAGCTTATTTGAAAGGTATTTTTGTTATAAACATTAAGTAGCTTCTGAAATGTAGCAATTTTTAATATATGCTTTCAGGCTTGAAAAAACATCGTATTATATTTTGCCATTTAGAAAAATATTAAAAAACATATTGGCTGAAATCTTAGTTTCAAGATATAATAGTGCTAGTAAATTAGTAAAAAATATTATGTCAGAGGAATATAAATTAGAATCCCATTTAACATTAATGAGATCGGTGTATATGATGGAAGCAGGACACATTATGAGTAAATTTTACCAAAAATTGTTTCAGGAGGTACAGTATAAAATATTTTATGATTAGTTTCATAAGTAGTTTTTTTTCTATAAAAGTTTTTATTTTCTATTAAATTCTTTTTAGATCGAATCTAATCAAATGTGGAACAATTCATATTATTTATCGTGTATTCTTGAAGAGATTCTTTCTCAAAGGTGGCCAGATTCAAGTTCACGTTGGTCTGTTACAGTCTGTAGTACTCATACGAATCAAGTGTTAGTGGCTGCAGATAATATAACATTACATTATACAGTAGGATGGCCTATAAATATTATATTAAATGAAGAAACGTTCATAAAATATAATGAAATATTTCGATTTCAATTAAAATTAAAGTGGGCTTTGTGGACATTGAATAATTTAAGATTTTGCGGTGAGATAAAATATTGGCACATCGTTAAAGAAATAGTTTTCTAGAATATGATAAATTATAACGTTTTTCTGTAGATTTGGAAGGATCAAAATCAATGAGTATGGTGAAAGACAAGTTGGAACAATTTCATATAAGACGCATTGAAAGTTTGCGATTTTGTTTATTGCACGCGATTACCTCTATACATACGTACTTATCAGGTCAAGTACTACAAAATTTGAGTCTTGTATTGGAGAAGTCTTTGATGCAAGCTGAGTGTCTCGATGTAATCATATCAGGTAAAATGAATTTGTAATTTATATTTTCATAAACACACATGGATATAAACTTTCCATTTTCCTGATGTATTGCAATTACAGTACATAATGAATATTTGCAAAAAGTTTATGAACACTGTTTATTAACACCCGAATATGATGATTTGATGGCAACTGTGAATAATGTATGTATATTGAATATTGTTTTATTGAAGGTGCCATAATCTGCATAAATGTACAATTTATATGATTCTTTCAGTTGATTGAAATGTGTAGTCATGTTCGGGCTCGGTGGAACTATAAAAAATTAATGTTTGCCAGTAAAGATTTGGATCTCCTAGAAAACAGTTACACTAAATACCACACATATCTTGCTTTAGCACTTCACAATGCAGTACAAAACAAGGATGCAAATTATTGTAAGTCACAAGCTCTTTTGACAGAGTTGTACAACATATTTCAATTTGATATTCCTAAATTTCAAAAGTTTTAAACTTATTTATACGGAATCATAAAATCATCTTAATAATAATACTAATTATTGTTTTAATCGTTTCGGTAATCCTTATTATATTATAATTATGTATAATAGCATAAGTATTAATATTATTTTTAATTTTGCTTTTTTGCTTACTTTCTTTACAGTGACTGGCTTAAGCTCAGCATTTAACTGCAGTATGTCGTATGTTTAATATTAGTATGTTTTAATATTACATTCCTTGAATACAATAGTAGTGCCATATGTATAGATAATAACAATGCAGCATGTTAGCTGTATTATTGCAAGAACTTTTTTTTATACTTTTATTATTAACTATGTTAATGCCTAAAAAATGTAATTGGTTTAGCATTAACAAAACAAAGATATTATTCCTATCCTTACTAATGCTTTAGCACCAATTATATCAAGTCCCATTTACAAAATTGTATCTTCATGTCTTTCATAATTTCTGTATACTAAAACTTATATAATATTTTGTAAAATATTAGTAAATTATTTTTTTTAACTATACTCTCAAATATTATGGTAAATAATTTGTACATCAGAAGTATATAGATTTATATCACAAAATAAAGATTTAAATCCTTTTTAATCTATTTTTTTTAATTTACTTAATAAAATGGTTTTTTAATTCCAACATTCTACCCATTCCTATACATTCCTTTCAGATGAATTATTGTTGCAATATCAAATGAATGCAAGAAATATGTACATCAGGAATGATGAGACCCTTTGTTCGTTCAATCTCGGTCGCAGTTTTCTAATAGAAGTAGCATTTCAAAATTTGCCTCCATCGGGTTTACCTATTCCTATTCCAAAAGTAATACACAAGGCAGATTGGTGTAGAAACAGGTAAAGAACCTTGATTCTAAAATTAATTCTCATATGATTTCAGTAAAAGTATTTACATTTAATCGTTTCATGGAAAATATTTTTAAATTATTATTGTTGTAAATATTTAAAATTTGAATTTTTCAGTTTAAGTTCCGATTATTCTTTACCAAATGAAATTACTTTAAATGAATATGAACAAACATTTTCATATATACGTTGGTATCAATTAGAAGAGAGTATTGTTACATTCAGTTTATCTCCTTACATTTTATTCCATAAAATGGAAGATGTTATTGGCGATATCAATAATATACAGGATAATCAACCTTATGAAATTAAAGGAAAAGACAATAATATTTGACAAAAATTAATTAATAATTGTATTAATTTTTACTTTTATAAATAGCAACATAATTATAGTGCCATATATACATTTATGTTCTTTAACATAGTTTTATTAAAAAAAACTTATAAGTAGTAATAAAATAATAACATTGTGTTAACTAAGTATTTATGAAATTAAGTTATGGTAATATGACTGTGTAATACATTATTACTAGTATGTAAAAAGAAAGTGAAAAAAATGTATATGAAAGAACCCTGACTTTCTATTGCAAAAATTTTAAATATTATATACAGAAGTTAACTCTGTGCAATTACAACAGTACCATTTTGTCCTATGGTTCCAGTTTGTGATACTGTAGGAGCATTTGAAGTTTCATTCGAGTTAACAGGTGGAGTCGAATGATTATTAACATTTGTAGATGCTAAAGCCTTATTGCGTAGTTCAAACACTTGTTGAATGGCTTTACGAAAACAGAGGAAGTTATAATCGATTACACCTATTGATAAAGCAAAAGAAAATTATAAGTATAGAACATGTTGTAGTATATCGTATGTAGGTATTCACAGATGTTCCTGAATAGCTACATTACCTTGTCTATCAAAATTGTCTTCCCGCAAGATGCAAACTAGGGCCAAGAATTTATTAACTTCTCGCAAATATAAAATTGTTCCATTATTTAATTTGATCAGACTGGAACTTTGACTGTCAAATGCTGCAGCTTCTAAATCTTCTCTCAAACTAAAATTAATATATAACAATGCTTTTATACAAGGCAAAAAATTAGAAACTATTTTGCAATGCATATATGTAAATATACAATAAAAATGTATTTAAAAATATAAAAGGATGTTTAGGCGACCTACCCATATATGCAGGATACATCGATAACAACATCAATCATATCACAACACAATTCATAACTTTGCATATCTACAGGAGAACTATCAGTTGCAATATAAATTTTAGATACTACATCAAATAAAAATGCTTTTTCAATTGCAGAATGCTGCAAAACAAATCGTAATTTATATCGTGAAAAATTCAACCATGTATAATTTATGCTTTTTCTTACCGATATAAGTATATTAAGTAAATTTTCTAAGGCTGGTAATTGTGGTATTAATTTTTGAACAACTTTGCTAAATGCCTCAAAAATACTATGATCATATATGGATGTTAAGTGGAAGCTTAAATGTATCTGATCACATCCTGAAATACATATATTTATATACCTTAATAATACAGAAACGAATTTCGTTTTTTTTTATTTACCAGAATCTGCAAGGTCATCATTTGCTCTAGTATGTATGTCTCTTTGTGTTTCCATTTTACAATCATCAGTTAAACCATCTACTTTATGTATGAATACTTCGAATCTGATTGCTTGGTTAACTTTATACGCTTTTGTAACTGTCAAGTGAAGTTTATTAAGTGCTTCCATATAATCGTCTTGAGCATCAATAACAAAAACTAATGCTCCACAACCACCAAATATCATATCACTGTCAAAAGTAGGATCAAAGAAGTCAATTTGTCCTGGAAAATCCCAAATTTGAAATTGTACGAAACTGGAGTTACTTATATCATCTTTAATAATCTTATTTGTGCTTTCCAAGAATAACGTTTCATTTGGAGACATCTTATGAAAAACTACTTTCTGTATTGATGATTTTCCACTCCTAGAACAGACATTAATGTTATATAATTAGTAAAATCAATAAATAAAAAAGTTATAAATCATTTAAGTGAGTACCTTCTGAGACCCATTAGAAGTATTCTTGGTTTTTGTTCCCCAGGTAAAGGATCCATAGATCCTTCTGTTTCTCCATCGAATCGTGCATATCCAAAATCTTGAGGAAACGCACCTACATCACGAACTTCTTGATATTGATCGTCATCTTCATCCTACAATAATAAATATTCTTTTTTACTGTTATATAATTATACATTTTAATATAACAGTAACTATTAAATAAGTGTTACTAATAGTTTTTTATATATAAAAATAATAACATAAGTAATATTAATGCAGACAAATAATATTACCAAATAATTTCTATTAAAGAAATTTATTTTAATTATTAGCAAAGTACAAGAATATTACATTAATCAGTTGAAAATAATTTATCAGCATATGACATGACCAATTATTATCAGTACAGTGATTTGAGTCATCAACCACTTACCATATTCGTATTGTTTAAAATGCTTTATTTATTTGCACTATATGTTATAAAGTAGACTATATATCCATAAAGTTTCTCAATATTACAGTATAATGCACATTCAAGAATGAATATATTAATAGTAATTACAAATTAACATAAACTAAAAATGTATTCGTTTTTCATCACTGGAATTGCAATAAATGATGCACGAGTTATTTGACACAATATCAATGTGAACGACGATTATACTAAAATATGACTAAATTGACACATAAAAATAAATATTCACTTTCTATGATTCAAGCTTTCCAAATACACAATTGTAAACGAAATTTACATTTTTTTATAATAGAATAAAATAGTATTAAGTACTTTCTTCTTCAATGAAATATTTATTGATTGTTAAATGTATAATAAATTTTATTTTAATATAAAAATATGTTTAATCGACAAAGATTAAACACACGAAGTAATATAATGAGATCCAATGTTTTGTCATGTAATCACTAACATACACTCAATTGTGATATTGAGTGAAGGATACGATGAAAATAGACATAAATGTGAACTACCAACTATACGATTAAATTATAATGGCGCTGTCGCCATTTTCTTGAACGTATCTGTAGCGAACTTCATGTCCCTCCTGTGTTTCTGTTTGCGCGAAAAACGTGTACAGCGAAATGGAGTAAACGCATATCGTAAAGTGATTTTGCGAGAACGTAATTGTATAAAATGTTATGGTAAAACATGAAAGTGATTGCTATTATTCTATAATTACATTTCATAATCTACTAATCTATAAAAGGTAGGGATATGGCAGAAATTTCGAATTCCACAGTGTTTACAAACGATGCATCCTCCACTGGTGCTTCCGATCTTCTTCAACAAGCGTTCCAACAAGTTGTTGATGATGATGATCACGACAACGAATTTGTTGCGTTTTTACAAAATGATGATAATGAGTCTGAAACTATTCACTTGACTCCAGAACAAGCAGCGGCCTTAGGTCTAACCTTCGAGGTAAATTCGAATGAAGAGGTTATGTACCAACAGGATCAAGATAATGCTGGTTCAAACACGCAAGAAAGTGTTCCTACGGATGATAACATTAACTTACAGGACCAAGCACAGTTACATTCTCAAGATTCTATAACGATTGATCAATTAAGTTATCAACCTGAAGAAGTACAAAAATCTAATGATAATGATTTGATTAAAACAGAATGTATTGATTTCCAAGAGTGGCATATGCAAAAACTTTCTGAAAATGAACACCTTGAAAACCAAGTAGTCGAAAATGATTTATCGTTGAATGAAGTAAATTTAAGTAATCAGAATCATGAATCTCAACAAATACTTGAACATCAAAATAATATGCTTCAACAAAACTCAGGTACACAGACAATAGTTTTGGAACATTCTAAAGTACACACAATAAAAACAGAAGTTGGGCATGTTAAGAATATTCATGAAAATGATGTGCAATATACAATTGACGATAATGTAGCACAAAATCCACTTAACACAATACCTAGTTCTCAAGCGCAAATCTTACAAAAGCTACCTGTTATTTTGCCATCATCACAATTTATTATAAAGCCTGCACAAACTATATTAAAGCCAACTAAAAATATTAGATTACTTCAAGGTTCAAATAAACTTACTAATGCTACTGTGAATCAAATTAATACATTACATTCGCTTGGTACTGCTTCAAGTCCTAATTCCGTGCTGTTGTCGAAAGCTACAATATTGAATAATTTACCATCACAAATAATAAAAGCTACACCTATCACAGCTCAGTTATTAAATACCACCGGAATATCAGCACAGCTGTTAAATACTTCTCAGATTATAACTGGTGCTTGTGAAATACAGAATCAATCTGTTACTGCATCCCATATTTCTAATGCGTTAGTAAGCACTGCCTCTGGAGGAACACAGAATCTTGTTACTTCACAAATACGTTTATCGCCCATTGTGAAAACATCACAGCCTCTTCAAAGGAGCAATGTTCAACAATTTTTAACTCCGGTGCTAAAAGGTGCATCTACCGTGCTTCCGAAATCTAATCAACTTATAAATGGTACAGGTGTAGCAACAACTATCCCTGCACAATTATTAAAATCAGTACAAATTTCATCTCAGTTACTTAAAACAAAAGGTACAATTGGTAAGAAAACAACAGTAACAACTGGAGTACCAAAAACTACTATTAATTCTAATACACCAGTGGTTCTCAGAGCTGCATCTATTATGAAGACTCAAGATTTAAAAGCAACAACAACAAGTTCAACATCTATCTTAAAACCAACTCAAATTTCTTCAACGCCTATATCCATCTTGAAACCTCAAGCAAAAATTGCACTAAATAACTCAACTAAACAGAATGTAACTATCTCCGCTCAAAACATTGTCAATATTTCTAATAATTTACAAAATGCTTTACAAAAATCACCTGTAACACAACAAAGTGGTATATTCGAACCTGCCAAATCAACACAAAATGAAGCTGTTAAGCAAAAACTTAATCTTGTTGTAAACGGTACAAATTTAAAAGTAAATAAAAAAGTTAAAAGTACTCCCATTAAGCCTATGTCAGTAGTAAGTGATTCTACAGATGTAACTAAACCATTGGGTTCTAGTGAAAATCCAATACAAATAGTTCAACAAGGCCAAACATTTCATAGGTAAGTGAAATTATCTATTTATAATGGTTTTAGTATTTTTTTCATTTGTATGATGTTCATATCTATTTTAGTATGCAACGCTTGACACCCACACAATTGAAACAAATTGCTCATGTCTTGCAACAACGTAGTCAAGAAACTACTGCTTCAAATGAAAGAGTTGTATATAGGTTTGTATATTATACGTGTTTATTATCTGTTATTAAATGCTACAGTTAAACAATCCACATATAAATTTAGGGTTGTATTTCCTGAAGAACTTGATTTGCGAATCAGAAATCCAGGAAATTTAATAAAAAATCGTGGGGGAAAAAGGGGTAGACCAAAAAAGAGTGCTATTAGACCTTCTTTGCTTCCTCCTAAACCATCATTAATACCTGATGAAGAACAAGAGGAACTAAAGGTAGATTGAATTTATATTTTTACTAAATTGCAAATACATTGTACTAATATTCCAATATATTCTATAGGATGAAAGGAAGAAAGTTGTGGCAAGGACACGGTCTGGAAGACTATCTAGACCACCTCGACACATGGTGCGAGATTATAAACATTTACATCATTTAGATTTTTTACAACCCGACTTAGATGATTCAGATGGTGGTTATAGTGATTATAATACAAATAATGACAAACTTGAAGAAGAAGAATCACCTAAGGAATTGTTAACAGGATTAGAAGTACCAAAAAGAAAAATATCAGATCACTTTAGATGCCCTACATGTAATAAAATATATTTAGGACGCACACGAATGGCAAGGCATTTTGAAATGCATCCTGATCATGGAAGTCCTGAACAACTACCTCCTCCAACGCCTGAACCTGAATTGAAACAAAATGGGGGCCAAGATCCCTTGAAGCGTAAAGGAAAAAAGCGTGGTCCGTGGGCTTATGTCACACCGGAAGCTAAATCAGAAAGACGACAAATAAAATTGAGAGAAGCAATTTCTGTGTGTGAAGATCTTGAAATAATCAAAATTGCTGCAAAACCAGTACTTAACGCACAATCATTATTTGATTTATTAATACTAAAATCTGAGAATAATGTGAGGAATTTCTTGGACGAATTAAAATTACTAATGGGTAAAATACGTGAAAAGGCTGCAACTATACTAACAATTGCAAACAGTAATGAAGAATTAAACAAAGATTTAATTGATATAAGTGAAGAATCACTTTGTGATGTTCTAGGATTGAATCCTGGTTTGTACAAGATTAATAACGATGCTTTGAAAAAAGTCGACACTCCTGTTTGTAGCACTTACGTAAATGGAGAACCTCCTTTAAAACTTCAGAAAACAGATAATTCTGAGGATGCTAAAGAAAATATAGAGGAACGAATGTCTAGTGGATTTTCAGAAAGTTCAGATCTTAGTGTCTCAGACTTCTTAAATGACAGAAGAAGTGAATCTGTAACAAATCCTACTTGTCCAGAAGTGCTATCAGCTTTAACACTGATGAGAAGAAATCCCAGTCCTGTAAATAGTACAGAGAATAATAAATCTAACACTGTGTCAAAATTGTTAATTTCGAATCCAGAGATTCAAAGTCAAATTTCAGATACTCCTGGATTCCAAAAAGTGGATATTACTTCACCAAAAGTTTCAAGTTATCAAAAAGCGGAGTCCCATAAAGAAAATTTCACAAAATTAGGAAACGGTCTAGGATCAACAGCTTTCTGTAAGGTCGAAGATAACTTCGAACAGTCTAAGTTAGAGCATATAGAAGAAGCTTTCATAAAACTGGAGTCAACAGAACAAGTTTTTGTTAAATTAGAAAACAGTCCTATGGGAGCTTATTCGAAACAAGATACCCAAAATTTTGAAAAGATACAAAATGGGTTAAGTAATTTGGAAAATGGATCTCAAAACTTTGCAAAAGGTTTTCAGAAATTAGTATCTAAAATAATTCCCATCACATCTTCAGATATAAATTGTGCTAAAACTCAATCAGCTCCATTAGATACAGGTTCTTGTAAAATAATGTCTGCTACTTCTGGTTGTAAGATTTCAGATAGTATACCAATTTTGCAAGATACAGTACCAATAATTTCCAATAATTGTGATACTAGTATATTTGGCAGTGCAGAAAATTTAGATATGTCTAAAATAGCTCAATACGATCACATTGCACACTTAGATATTTTAAATACAAGTGGAGTGATAGATAAAAATTTATTAATTGACGAAAAGTTGGTCGAACAATTGCATTTAGTTGATCAATCAAATTTAGTTGACGAACTAGTATCTGAACGATTAAAAAATATTATGCCCGATAATATATTGGAAAATAATTTGATATCTAATAACTCAAATTTAGATACGGAACTCGATTTTGATGCATTAAGTGAAGAATTCAATAGAAATACTAGAAGTTGATTCTTGGATGATTGTGTGCAAAATGTTCCTAAACAAATTAAAATAATATGTATAGTGTATAAAGATACTGAATTTATTATACAATTATTTGAAATTGTATATGTATGCATATAATTACACAATGGTGTAGATATTTTTTTATAGAATTTTTGACAGTATCATAATCAATATAATATAACTTCCATATTTGAATGAACAATATCAATATTAAAATAATATAATGTCTAATATTCTGGTATGTGTATGTACATAAGACTGTTTCTGTTATATTTATTTTATATAATATATGTCTTATGCAAGAAGATTACAACTTCAATAACAAAAGCATTGATGTTGTCTTTAAAGAAGCTTTACTTTGTCGAATAAATTTCAACATAAAAAAAGATGTTACTACTACACATCAGAATTTTTCATTTTTGGTAAACAGTCTTTATAATCGTACACATAATGCAATTAATAGTTACAGTTTTAGAGCAGTCTCCTGAAAAAAACTTAAGTCATACGTAAACGAGGCAGAAAGTAAGAAGTTAGACTTGCTAGAACTATAACTTAAACATTATAAAAATATAAATATAGAAGTTTTTTGTAAATGTAATTTTGCATAGATATTAATTATACTGTCAGTTACGTATACATTATCTTGACTTTAGTTACAGTGCTACAAAAATGATCATGCACAAATTATTTCGCAATGTACTTTCTAAATTTATAATTGCAAATAATCTTTTTTTTTTAATAGGACAATATCTCTAACGTGATTCTATTCATCGATGAATAAGAAAAAAAATTAATTTATATTGTATCAATAATTTCGTTACAGCTGTAAAAGAAAATATTGTAGAATAAAAATGCGATAATTTTGAAAGTTTAAAGCAACTATTTATGAATTCAGGTGGATTGCTTACAGCTTTTATACAAATACTGCATTAAGAATACTTTAAACATCAATAAGATAATTCCATCCACGTTGTTATAGCATTTATGTACAGTGGATATTATTAATTTTGTATTTATCTGTAAATATGTATTATACGTGTATAAGAAGTTATTGATATGATTAAACGTTAATGGCACTAGTAACTACTAGATTAATTATAACTAACTATGAAATATATTAACTTTGCAGGTTTGGTTCCTTGTATCTATGATACATTCTTTAGAATCTGCATTTGCAAAGAAAATATAGCACATTTGTACTTGTCTATATCTGTATTTCTTTGTGATCTCAGGTACCAATTGTAAACAATTTCATAGCGCGCTTTGGATTCTGAGTATATATATATGTAATAATTCCATATTTTCTTTTTCTTTTTTGTGAAACTATACAGATGGTATTTCAAAAGCCACAAATAAATGAACATTCTATTAATGTTTGTTTTATTTCAATAGTTGCAAGTTATTGTGTACAAAAAGTTAATTATAAACTTCAAATCAGTTTTAAAGTTACAAAAATACTTACCAAGATATGTACCAACAATAACTACAACTATCTATGTCCAGTTTCTATCAATAATGATTCCAAACATATTATTAGACTTTCCGGTAACAACGGTTGATGTACCCATGTAGCAAGATATAACATTTTCAAGGATTCTGTATACTGATGAGCTATATCTTCAAAGACTTTACGTTTCATCTTAGCCTCTTCAGAATACATTGTATGTATTACCTCTGCTATTTGACCTATCGAAAATGTTTGAAAATGATCTTAATTAGTCTTTTTAAAAATAAATAGATGATTTGTCCTTAAAATAATATTATATCTACCAAATTTAGTAATAGGCCATGTTGTAAATAACTTATCCGTATCTTTTTCTAAGGATGTTGTTAATTTTATTTGGTGTGCAATTTGAATAAAATTTTTTACGACAGAATCCTGAAAAGAAATCTGTTAATATCTTACATATTTTAAATCTAAGATTATATATCTAATACAATCATTACCAATGTATTGCAAATGGATTCTAATTTGTCACATAATTCTTGTAGAAGCTGAGAATAAGATGAATTCTGTTTTTCTCGCGTTATATCTTTTAATAATGTTATTCCTTGTAAATGAGTTGCATTCCACTGTTGTATACTTGCATGGATATCCGCAGCTAAATCACGTATATGTCGAGCTGCACCTACTAAGTTCTTTCCCTGCATTGGTTTTTTTGATTGAATTTCTGTAACACAAATATAATTTGAAACATGAATTTATTTTTATTTTAGAAACACTTTTATATTAAAGAATGATTTCAATAAAAAATTATTTCTATACCTTTAAGTGTACATTTACATTAAAAAATAAGTGATAGATAAATTAAAAGAAAAGGTTTTGGTTACTTACCATTAACTGGAGAAAATTGTTCTGTATTCATCTTAAGTTTGCTGAATATGGTACAATAAAAGTTTTTAATATAAAAACATGTTATTAAATAAAGAAAGTTAATATTTAATAATTGTATTGTACAGTTAAAAAAGAAATTGAGTGCATAAGAAAAATATTAAACAGAAGTTATGCAGGTAGAAATATTCGAGTTCATAGAATTTAGAATAGTTATTACACAAACAATATGTATAGTAATATGGAAGGTGAGTATATACAAATTATTAATTTTAAATCTGCGTATTTAGGATATGAAAAAAGTAATAATGAAACTTATATTTGAGATAATAGACTTATGCTAATTAGAATTGCTTCATTACTGGTTAATTATTGTAAAATGAAATAGTATTTTTGACAAAAGACAACCAATGACAATAATGTTCCTGCTAAGCAGCTCGAACTGTACATTTACAAAAATCACAAATGATAAGTATAGACCGTAATCTTATAATTATTTTGAAACTTATCTAAGTAAGTTAAACAAATAAAATACTGTCTCAGATTTTTTATTAAAAATGTCTTTAAAATTTTGTAAACCTTATATTTACAAAATTTTCTTGGCATTTTTGAAATATGCATAATATTTAATGGGACGTAGATGGCGCGTGCGTAGAATACAAATGGCGATTGTTATTAAGTTTTAATACATTTTATTTGAATGGATTCTTCTATATCGATAACCAATTTTTCTTAAATAATAACAATTGGATTTCTTGATTTATAAAATATCATGTAATATTTAAAAAAATGAAATTCTTTACATTACAACATGAATAATTGAATTATAAATACCAATACTGATCAAAGTATCAAAAAATGTGTAAAATATTATTAAAAATTTTTGAGCAATTTTTTTTTATATTAAATTATTCGTTAAATTTTAGATGTGCAGGTAATACGCTTTGTCTTTGTAAATAGAAGCAAGTGATCTTAATTTGTTAAAAGATTTAGCTTTAAATAAATTTTGTAAGATGTATGGTACGTAATATTATTTTTTTAAAATAAACTGAATAAAACAGTTGATAATAGGCAATTAAGAAATAATAAGTTCGATACATTAAAATTTAAATAAATGATAATAAGATAAGATTGTTATTAAAATACAAATAATGAAATTATTAAACAAAAATAAGTCTCACAAATAAAGAAGAATATCAACGATGCTCATTAAATTGGGAAAAATCGGAAATCAATTACTAATAATGATGTAATTATAATATTATTTGTCATAAAATCTATTAAAGAAAATGATTAAACATTTAATCTGTTTTGAATGGCCAAAAGTAGACAAATTCTCTTTTTAATAAATTAAAGAATAATTTGATTTGAAACTTTGATCTGTCTGTACATGTATAAGGAATATTTATGAAGTTTTATACAGTATGCCCGTTTTATTCATGTCGAATAATTTCTTAATTAGTGAAGACGTGGAAAAATATTTCAGATAAGAATTGTTCGACATGATGGAAAGACATTTAATAAGCTGTTTCGATTTTTCTTATATTGTCATTTAATGAAATTTCAAGGTCAACACAATATAATTAATGTCAGTTTATTGTATTTTTTAATTAATAATGTATCGACTATTTGTATAAATATTCGTTAGGATCCTCGGCTTCGGTATTTTATTAATTATTATTGAAATTTTATTTTGATTATTTATTATAATGAAAAAATTAATTTTTTCTTATGTTCCGCGAATGTCTAAAAAATTGGATATCGTCTCAGTGTCGCTAATTGTACTAAGTGAACACTAAACATAATTTATTTAAAATTTGTGTGATTTAAAATTTTTTTAAAAATTATTTTTCTAATTATGATCTTAAGAATTTGCATGAAGATCCACAGTCTAGTTATTAGTTTTATGAAACAGTAAAACAATGGTTCTGGATTTAAATCGACTAAAAGTGGCGTTTTGTTTATAATTCTATGCATCTGCAATAAATCAATTCAATTATTAGCACTGAAACTACCGAGTGTTTAATATAATTAATGTCATCTTTATAAAAATTGTAACAATAGATTTCTTTCGATTTCCTTATACATTTAATATAGTATTCAAATGAAAATATTTATTTTAAGATCATTTTGGATATTTAACAGTTTTAAGATATCAATAACTGCGAAGTAAAAAAACTGAAATCTGCCATTTTAACGGGTGCGGTAATTTTAGTGTTAGGGAAACTGTTTCGACTACATAGGAGTTTTGATGAATGTTTGTTTGGCAGTCAAGATATTAATCTTTTTACTGGGGATGACGAGTTAATACATCATCCAAGTTTAGTTTCATTTCTCAATAGTTCTTCGCTATTGTGTTCATTTGATAAATAATCGTATTTCATCAAATCGCGATATTTTTATTTTGCCAACACGAACCATGCAATATTGAAGTGTATACTTTTCTAATATTCACTATATTAATTCTAGATATCTAAACTGCAATCAGTGTTACTCTGTACCTAAACATTCGACTCGTAGACTACGAATTAGAGACATGCACATATACTTTTATATTTCTTCTATTTATTTCAAACAAAATAGTACGATTTAACACTAAAACTACCAGACGGTTCAAAATAACCTATTTCTAAATTTTTCTTGTGCAATTATTGAAAAAATAATAGATGCTTCTCTAAGAAATGACTGAAGAAATGGATTTACCAATACGCAAACTGAATTGCAAATCGGTTGAAGTCTCAATACATCCACTTTCAGAGTTTCTACAGAGATATTTAAAAAAAACCAATTCGACTGTTCGGTAGTTAGAATGTTCATTAATATTAATGAATGTTAGAATGTTAATGTAATATATTTTTAGATTCTAATTACAAAATAGGAAAGCGTTTAAAATTAACGGTTTCAGTCTTTGCAGGGTTAAAGGTGCGCTTCCGAATTTGAATTCCCAAAAGTTTGCAAAAGTTGGTAGACTAGTTATCTAGGTTTAATTGAATTCGTCTTGAATCGTTTGGAAAATACCCAGTTAACCCTTTGCTCTATAATATCGTGTTAGACTTGTGATAAAAATTTCAAATTAAATTTGACAAATCTAAATGTTATTTACTTTTTCTGAATATACATTAAATATAAGCTCTCTATTACCAATCGTTAGTCTTTGGAGTAAACGCAGATATGGAATAAGTATCAAATAGTCTTCTTTTTCTAATGAACTATTAACAATCAAGTAGGTTTATCAAGCACAGTTTTGAAAGAAATCATAGGCCAAGGGGTTCAAATGTTAACACTATATTTTCAGACATTTATTGTACAGTTTATTCTATTGTTTCTAGAGGAATTGATGTTCGTTTGTTCAGGTCTTAGGAAATACAGGTTTAAAAATAGACAATTGGGATACATATTTGTGTAATTGCGTCAATCAAACTCGATGTAAATATTTACCAAATAACGTTTATAAAATATACCTAGTGTTAACACTAGAACTACTGGATGGATCAAACTGACCATTTCAGAATTTTTATTTCGCAAGTATTTAAATTATAAAGACATTCTTGCGAGAGATTTTAAATTGAATTTATGCATTTGTACAGACACAAGAATAGGAGACCCTTCAAATCTCAAGAAATGTATCATTGTAATTTTGATAAAAAATAGGAAACAAGTCACTTTAATTGCTCGGTAGTTCTAGTTTTAACACATTCGCGACCGCTGACGTAAATTCATGTATTTTCAGATTCTCTTCCTACTTGCCGTACATTCACGTCGTATCAAGTAAGAACTTTAACGTAATGTTCTTCATTTCAAACAACAGACTGTTACAAGACTAATATCATAAAACAAATGTTTTAATTTTTATCCCAGTTTTAACATTATAAATTTGCAGCAATTAACTCAACATCTCCAACGTTTTCACCGGCAATAATTAAAAAAGGGACAAATTTACTAGTCGCGAATGTATAAAGAATGTGACGAGAGTTTTCTGCGAGCCGCAATAATTTTCACGGTAGCACATTCGCACGGCCGATAAGAGCGGAACGAGGTCTGCCGCATGTATCGCGGTGTCGTCGGCTCTGTTGCTTTTGTTCGGAGAACGGCCAGGGGAGCAACAAGGTTACTCAGGTAAAATGGCAGTCGTCGAACAGACTCCAGTCGTGTCTCGATCATAAGCGGCGGTACCTCTCGAAAATTACAGGAACGCGAACGACGTGGATTGGCGGCGACGCGGGGGGATACCGGACGGCGGCGGTTCGTCAGTATTCGAAGATTCTCAATTTCAAAAGCGCGTGTGTCCCCGGTGTCCGTTTCCATCCGCGTGAACGATCGTCTCGATCCTCGTCCACGAGTCTCCGCCAATCTGGTTTAGCCGTGCTGCGAACCGAACCGTAGAGGGTCTTGGTCGCCGACGAGTACGATTCCACGGGCAACTCGTAAATCACGCGGCAGTCGGCGTTGAAATCACCTGAACAGGAACGGTGTTGGGGGCTATAACGGAATCCGTTGAATATTTCTTCACCGAGTCGGAAAAAGAGGAAGTGGAAACTCCGGGGGCTGGGCCCGCCTGGAGAACGAACATTTCGGTCGGCGATTGGACCCGCTCGGAAGGGAATTAAGGTCGTGCACCTTGCCTTCCCCAGGGGACAGACTAGCGGACGGACGGGCAGCGGCAGTACGAAAGATCCAGCGAGTGACGTAACTACGCGGCATGATAATAGATACGGACGTTAGCCGGCTGCGTTCACGATCAGATAAGAGGATCGAAATTGTGCCCGGCATTCGGGGATCCGTGTCAGCAGCGGAACACGATAACACGTTCAGTCGGCGACCGGTTCTGTGCGCGAATTCTCGGTGGCAACGATGAAAATGGAGGTAAGCGCGTGGACACCAGCGAAACGGATGAGCGACGGAGATATTTTATTTGCGCGTTTCTCGCTCGTCAGTTGTGCGATCCGCCGAATCTATTCGAACCGTGTAACACCTGTCGGCCCTGTCAATATTTATGCCCGGTAACTGGAAATTACGGTGCCGGCTACTTTCGGATCGAGACGTCAATGGGATTTCTAATTCAACGTGAAATATCGATCGGTCTCGATTTATCGAGCTCGATAAATTACTCGTGAAAGTGTCTTGTAGAAGATGTCACAGCTCTCCACGACGTTTATCGGGATGGTTCGATCTCTAATTGCTCGTGAGTGGATTGTCGAAATGAAACGTAACACGGATTCACGCATGTTCGCGCGGTGCTAGCGAAAACTGGTCGGACGGCTATTCAAATCGGTTTGTATGTGATTTTTTCATGTCGGAAATTTTTCCTGTATGATCGTGTAGTTTTGGGAAGAAAGTGGATTTGAATTTTATCATTGATTGATTTTCAACGAAATCTGCGCTGCGTTTGATCGGTGTTTAGGAGTTTCGTTAGGGCTCGAGTCTACTCGTCGGATGCTTCTCTTGCTTCTTCTGAAAACGAGATCTTTTTATATTTATTTGGGCTTGTAACGTATTTTCACGATATATTGGGAGTCCAAGGACAAACTGGATTTTTTCAGTTTTTGTTTTGATTTTTTCTGAATCACTTGAGGTTGTCTTTGGAAATGAGAATTAAGAGGAAAATTTCGTTTGTTGGCGCTGTGCTTACTCTATGGAATTCATCGCAGTAATCTGTGTTATTGTAACTTGAACAGTAGTCGATTAACTAAAATAGTTTAGTTTTTCAATTATATGTGATAGGTACGTATATTTTAAGAATAAAAAGATAACGAATGTCTCAGAATTTATTATAATACAAAACTAACTTACAGTTTGACCAATGGAATTCTATTTTATTTGTTATTTGAAATAAACGAATAAAATCTATGTACAAGACAAATTTAGAAAATCCACCCATCAACAATATATCAAAGAAGAATGGAAGATGGCAATTATAAATGTATAATACATAAGAAGAAGTTATTGCAGAATTGATTATCTATATTTTAATTACCGATTTTCTCTGAGATTCAAAATTCGACGAACTTGTTCATTGACATATGAGTTATTCATTAGCCGAAACGTTAATTCCATCCTTCGAATTTCTTCGAACTTTATCGTCGTAGTATTGGATTGATTCTTAAATTTTTATATTTAAAACAAATTCGTTAGATCAAAGCTACACCTATAATAATAAAGTCAAATACATTCTATAGAGATTATTTGATTTTTCAATTAAAGGGAAATTTTAAAAATCAATGTATACTACTATTGCATTATTTTTTGTATTTTTTGGTTTTGTGGAATTAACCTGTTTGCCCAGTGAGTGTTTCATAGTATAACAATAGACACATAAAATTGGTACAGAAGTTTTTGAAAGGAATTGTAAACAATCCATTTCCACCGGTATAGTATTATATAGTGTTTAATAGCGTCGGGTAAGTTCCGATACGCGGACAAACGTAATCCAAATGCAAACTCGTGACTGGTTGAGCAGCAGCCGTGCTCGTACGCGTTCATAATGGAACCGGTATCACGGATTTTTCAAACTGTATACACTGCCACTCAAAAGTATCGACCACTTGTTCTGATGATCAATGAACTTAGCCTTTCCAGTCGAATGAAATGCGAACGGTGTACCCGAGAATTTATATCATTAATCCTTTGCGGACGAAGACTGTTGAAAGTATTAATGGGCATTTGTTCATTAATTCATATGTCAGTACTTTCAGCATTAAATAAAAAAATACACAATGTTATATTATTTAATTTTATCGATTTAAAAAAACTTAATAATATGTTCAGCTTTAGTTAAAAACTTTTTACGTAAAAAAATAAATTATACGTTAAATATTTATTTAATACTAGAACTACATTACAGTTTTCTCATTTTACTATTATTGATATGGTAATGGTATTAAATATCTGAGGTTATTTTAAAAATTAATAGTTTCGTTAGATTACTAGTGTGTAGAACGTAATGAATATCTGAGGAAACATAAAAAAGTTTATCATTTTTACAAGACTGAATTATATTAAAGTTTAATGACGAATTAGTTAATTAAGGATTATATTA